ATGAATTTTTAAATAAAATTTAATACAACTTTAATATAAGTTAAAATTTTTGGTAACTTTTAAAAACTTTTGTGTTTGTATACTATTTAAGCGATGGATAAATTGAATGTTAAATTTATTGTATAAAACATTTAAAACACTTTTTGTTTAAATATTTTTAAAAATATAAATCATTTTAATAACTAATTAATAAAATGATAAATAAATTGCTATTTTATAAATTACTTTAAAACTTTAGCAATGGATGGAAAAAGTGTGAAATGAGATGAATTGTTGAGATGTAATGTGAGATAACGTAATGTTTTTAGTGAACAAATGGTCCCCAAAATAGTCACTCATTTAGTGATGCATTGAGTGATTGAATGAGACGTTTGTTTTGATTGAAAGCCAAACTGAACCCAATCTGAAGACATATACGAGACATCACTTAAGATATGTTAGTATTGTTTGACTCATATTTTGTCAACAATTGTCACTGAATTGAACAAACAATGGATGAATTGGTGGATGAGTTGAGCAGTACTATGATTGATGTCGACCATCACATACAGAGCACATCCAATGGTGACGTGAATGGCATTAATGGTCACTCTTTTGTGGGAATCGATGGACAGATGGATATACAGATGCGATCCGTGAAGAACCAGAAGCCAGTGGCCAGAAGTGCATCGATTCTGATTCGCTCTAAACTATTGATATTATCTGACTCTGAATCGGATGACGACAGCAATTGTGGTCTCAATAGTAAGACAAACCAGTCGTCGGCCCGAAAGGCGAAGAGAGGCAACAAAAAGCAGAACCCATTGAACGCGAAGATGTAACTTGATTTTAGACCTCATCACCGGTCGGCCAATCAGATCAGTGGCCGCTTTGTTGGCCTCCAAAGCGGTGAATGCCTTCGTATAATAGTCTTCGCGAGTGATCTGAAGTCTGGTCCGATGGATGAGCACCAAAGAGCTTCCGGCGCCCACTATTCCCACGGCTCCGGCCACTCCCGCCAACTGACTCAAACTCAATCGCCACCACATCTTCACCACAACTGATCCATTATTTTCTCAAACCATTACAACAGTAAACGACTAATAAGTCTTGCAATCAAACTATACTTCAAAATAAACTTTTGCTTACAATTCACGCATTAGTCATAAATAACGTGATACTAAAGCCGTGTTTATCGGTCCCCCATATTATGTGTCATTCATTTATACATATATTTCCCTCATTTGTGGAAAACGTTATTAATTAACAAAATATATACAAAAATATTATGCAATAAAGTATACGATATAACCTTCACTTCAATATTCATCGCCAAAAATTGAGTCATTCAGATTGAGGGGCACTTATTTAGCCCTCTCTTTGCCTCACAATAGTTTTTGAATAGAAAACCCCCTCATATTAGTTGTAACCCCTCTTCTAATATAAACATAATTTATTGTATATTTTATAACATCTTTTATTAAACAGTAAAAACGTCCGCAAAATTGAAACCAATGAACACAAAATAAGTGCAAAAAAGGGGACAAAACATAACATAATTGATGTATTGAAACCATTTTGTGTATTGATTTGTTGCCATCAGTTGCGAGTGAAGTGTTGTATTGAATTACTCGATCACTCGATCGGATCCATTGGACACAAAGGCGATAATGAGGACGAGTTTGGTGCGGGCGCTGGTGTTCCGAAACCCGGGTCAGGGCAAGCCTATGGTCATACCCGTCACACCATTGGCCGGATTGTCGCAAATGCCGTTCAAGTACTACTTCAAGACGGGCTGGTATTTCCGATACCTGGTGTACGCCAATGTGTTGTGTTTCCCGCTGTGGTGTTGGATCCACTCGAAAGTGAACAGTCCGTCAGCGGTGGCCGCGTGGGAGGCGATGAAGGCGGCCGACGCTCATAAGGAGCACATCGACCACATGTGGAAAGACATCACCGGTTGGAACGCCAACCGATAGACAGCCGTAGAGACACTCATTCAGAGACTAGGAAACAGTCTTTAGATTACTATTCAATTGAAGCCTATTTTAGTCGATATATAGCTATTTGTTTGCTTTCAATCTATATATCTATTGATGTAATGATTATTAGACTATTAATTAATTGAAATAAAAAATTGTTTTTAAACTCATTTCAAAGTTAATTATTTTACAAATGATTGAATGAATTGTATGTTTAAATGGGAAGCAATTATTACACGGATTGCAAACATGTCTTTTCATACGATATTTAAAGTTAATTATAAACGTCATCAACACTTGTATTAAACATTTTGTTCATGTAAAACAAGTAAATTGAACTAGATTATATAATTACTTTATAATTGAAATTGGTTCAATTCATTTGGAATACAACTTGTATGGCACAAGTGATTAGCATTTAGGTTATTATTAATGATAATATTACTACCGGTAATAATAACTATTGTTATAAACTTATTAATAACTAAATTAATGACGAGTTAATGATTTTATTTTAAAAAATAAAGCAATTATTATGAAAATATAATCGATTAGATAATAATGCTTACAATACACAATGTTAATCGTAAAATGCATAGAATGCTAATTATTGTAACTTGAATACTACTCTTCCCAAGAGTAGTGTTAAAGTTACAATTATTAATATTCTATGTCTTTTACGATTAACACTCTCTGTTGTATCTTATAATACCGTAAATACAATTAAATAATAATATTAATATATAATTAACATAATATACATATAATATAATTAAAGCGCAAATTAAACACTAAAAACCGGTTTATATTATTGAATACAATTAATGGATGAGGTATTGAATCTAACAATCAATTCGAGTATAATATGATTGAAAAAAATATTCATAATTCTGACCAGAATTTGACTTTTTATGTAAAATATTATTATATCTAAAAATGTCATTATTTTGAAAAATCTATTTATAATTAAATCATTATTTGGGTTAATATTAATTGAAAAATGAGTTATTTGTCACTTAAAAAGATGATCAATAATATGTACAAATCAATCAACATATTAACAAACCCTCCACTACTTCAACCCTCCCTTCCCTGTCATCCCATTCCCCTCTTTATGACAGCAATCAATGCATACGTCGTCTCCTTTTCCACAACATATTAGCGGATGAAAGGCTTGAGCTGTAAGAGGAAGACGTGGCCGAAGACAAGCCCATTGTTAAGAAGGGATTCCTTACGGACGGAACCGCAAAATCCATGGCTCGGGACGAATGTGAGTGATTGTGATGGTTGTGATGGCGCTGTCGTTGAGTGCTTTTGTTGGATTTGATCACTTCATAGAAGTCCGACTGTTCGTCGTCGCCATCGAAGTTGATGTCGGAGTTGTAGTCATCGGAGGACTCGCTGAGGGATGAGGTCTCTGTCATATCGTTATCGCAATCCATTTGAATGCCATTGAGAGTGATGTTAGAGTTTGTGCTGTGATTGGCCTCAGAAATGGTTGAACTCCTCTTCCGTTTCCCCGTATATGAAGACGAGTGTAAAGCCATTTGAAACCCATTTTTGTGGCTCTCTTTCGGACACATCTTCGCGTTCAATGGGTTCTGCTTTTTGTTGCCTCTCTTCGCCTTTCGGGCCGACGACTGGTTTGTCTTACTATTGAGACCACAATTGCTGTCGTCATCCGATTCAGAGTCAGATAATATCAAGAGTTTAGAGCGAATCAGAATCGATGCACTTCTGGCCACTGGCTTCTGGTTCTTCACGGATCGCATCTGTATATCCATCTGTCCATCGATTCCCACAAAAGAGTGACCGTTAATGCCATTCACGTCACCATTGGATGTGCTCTGTATGTGATGGTCGACATCAATCATAGTACTGCTCAACTCATCCACCAATTCATCCATTGTTTTGTTCAATTCAGTGACAATTGTTGACAATATATGAGTCAAACAATACTAACATATCTTAAGTGATGTCTCGTATATGTCTTCAGATTGGGTTCAGTTTGGGTTGAGTTTGGCTTTCAATCAAAACAAACGTCTCATTCAATCACTCAATGCATCACTAAATGAGTGACTATTTTGGGGACCATTTGTTCACTAAAAACATTACGTTATCTCACATTACATCTCAATTCATCTCATTTCACACTTTTTCAATCCATTGCTAAAGTTTTGAAGCAATTTATAAAATAGCAATTTATTTATCATTTTATTAATTAGTTATTAAAATGATTTATATTTTGTACAATATTTAAACAAAAATTGTTTTAAATGTTTTATACAATTAATTTAACATTCAATTTATTCATCGCTTAAATAATATACAAACACAAAAGTTTTCTAAAAGTTACCAAAAATTTTAACTTATATTAAAGTTATAAAAGTAAAGTTATATTAAATTTTATTTAAAAATTCATCAAAAATAATGTTAACTAAAATTAACTGAAAATTTTGAGTCTTTCTATTATCATTAGTCAATATACGGTGTCTTTTGGGAAAAGTTTGTGTCATCGATATAATCAAAGTTATGAACACTCAATGGATTTGTTTGAATATTTCCTTTTTCTTGATGTTTATTCACTTGAATAACAATGGGTTGAGATCTCATTTCCTAAATGGTTTTCAGCATTTAATTATCTATTAATACAACTTTATATTCATTTAATGGTTTAAACCTCAATATGTGGGTCTTCTTTGATGTCATCTGATTTGATACAACTCGGACACAAGTAATGCACGATTGGACTCAACTGCGAATGATTACCCTTTTTGATGATATCTATTATAATAAATTCGTATATAATTAGCAATATTCAATCAAACAAATTAATATTGCAGTAATACTTGAGACAAATTTGGATTTATATAACCATCGCTCACAGATCTGACTGACAATTGAACCGACAATTAATGTCGTAAGAAATCCAATGACAGGAATATACATATAATTTATGTGAAAGAATCTCAATATTCCCCTAAAAATAATTGAAAACAATTATTTTATGCTTTATACTGATTAAGACATTAATTATAACTACTGTGGCTCGTAGTGAACGGAGTACTGTCTTTGTGCGGCTGACATCCATGTCTTCTCTGACACGAGACTCAATATTTCTGGCGGACAAGACGTGACCGAAACGGGCAGTTGAAAGCCTTTTGGTCGCGGATATATAATGGTTCCGATTGTGATCGCCAGACATATTCCCACTCCAGAAACGAGTCCACAAATGGCACCCTTTAGTCACAAATTTTCATTTAAGTTATTTTGAATTATTGCATTATTAATGAAACAAATTGTAATACAATAGCGTTAATGCAGGGAAAGAATATTCCTAAACAAAACATGGATAGAAGTGGGCCAGTGATTGATCCCGACAATGCATATGAGGCCTAACCGTAGAAAGTATTTTAATTCGGTCATTTTATTAATTCAATTGAAATCAAATCAACAATACCTGTAATACAGTTCCCAATCGGCCGACAATGAAAGCGATTGCAATCGCCAACAATCCATAAGTCATGGCTTTTATTAAAATATTTAAAAAAATATCATTGCATTTAATAAAACTGTTTCTAAACTTATTTTAATGTTAAGGAGTGTTGCAATTGTAAAAAATGTATTTATCAATGTTTTGAGTTATTAAAATAGTTTGAAAATAAAAAGTATTCAAAATAACCGATAAATTTGGTGATGAGAAGTTGCTTTTTGCCACTTATATTCCGGAAATATCTCTTTACTAAGTCATCCCAAGTGACTGTCGCTAACGCATTGAAACCGGACGATAGCGTACTACCCAATGATCAAATTATAATTACTAAATGAATATGTATTTACAAAATGAAATTAATCAATACCTTAGGGAACCGCTAAAAACACAGGAAACAAATAGACCGGGAAGTCCGGGAAAATTGGATAGGGTTTCCATCACAAAGTAAGGCATTAACTTTGGATTATAAATACATTTAGTGTCATTCACTGGTCATTGTATAACTTTAATACCTGATCATGCTTTTCAATTATTTTTAACGATATTGGATCACAGCCATTATATTTAGCAAATATAACAATTCCACACCAAATGGCAGTAAATGCTATGATTAAAACGCCCGGAATATTCCAGTATAGAGTTCTGTGTAAATATTAAGTGTTGTATTAGTTTTACAAACATAATACAGGAATAGAAATTTGGTTTGAAAAATTAATGTATATTGGTTATCTGATTATAACTTTTTAGCTTTTTGTGGACTACTCATACAGCAATATCTCTGCACTTGAGTTTGTTTTACACAATAGGTTCCGGTCCATCCCGTCAACGTTCCCAAAAACACAGCCCAGAATGTGTCCCCTCTATACAGACTAAACTCAGAGCTATAATATAGGGATGAAAATGATGTGTTGAGTTGCAATCAAATAATTACATAGTTATTGTCTAACAAACTTAAATAAAACGAGTCGATTATTATCATATGCAATCTTCCACGGTTTTATAAGACCTCCCATTTCTATTGAGCCCACAATTGCCACCATAAGTAGTCCACTGAACATAAGAATGGTTTGCATCACATCCGTCCAAATTACCTGTTAATTACAAAATGTTGAAACATTTCATTACAGTTATCGCTACCAAAAACCTCAAAGTATTTACCGCTTTTATGCCGCCCTAAGTTTTATAGACAAAAACTTATAGTTATAGATTTTTAATTCAATTGTTTATAATGTATCTCACAATTGATGTATAGAAAGTGCATATGGCACCAACCACAATTATGGAACCGGTCACTGACAACGGGGTCACTTTAAAAATGTATTTTATCAGTTTATTTAATATATGATATACTGTATTGTGATAATATTGATAGCAATTTGTATACCGGAAGCCAATGCTAGAGAAGGTCCGTACAGAACAACTCCGAGATATGGTAACTATTTGTGTAAACATTTGTCAATTTATTAGATATCTTATCTAAACATTAATTAAGCTTCAATTATACAAGCACCATATAAATTAAACATTAATTCGTTTATAAAGATTATATATTTTAATAATTTACATGTACAGTGCCTAATAAGAATGGTAATCAAATTCTTTAGTAAACTAAAATAATTTATAGTTACAGTAACATAAAATAGGACCATGTTATTTCTGATATTAATTTTAAATTTAAATACAATTTATATATTAATTTTAATCAGAAACCAAAGATACAATCAATATATTTACTCTTTAATAATATAAAGTTATTTATTTTCTACAAATATGGGTTAAGTTTACTGAAATCATGAGTTAAGCGTCAATATTAGGTTAAAGTGTTGTGCTTTTTATCTTTAATGTTAAGTCTTTAATGGTTATGGTTTTTATAGATTCTTCAAGTTTTGTAACTACTTTTATATTACAGAAAACTCATTATTTCATAAATTTAAGGACAAATTATAATAAAATCAAAAAGCAATACAATTGAAATTTAATTGATTCTTTCAATAGTGAAAAAATTAATTACTTACAGTGCATAGAATGAATCCAATTGACCCTGATATTCTCACTGCATTCACGCCAAATCGACGCAACAAATACTGTTTAAATACAATTTGTTATTTAATATATTAAAAATTTTATTTAAAATCAATCAAACAATGTTTGCAAATGACAATGTTCAATAAATCCTATACAGTATTAGTTTTTATTATTATAGTTCTGAAAGTGTGTTTAAATAAGTGTCATATTTGTTAAATATGTACATGTTATAATTTAAATTCGCAGCTTAAATCTCATTAAATTCATTTTTCTATCATATTTGATTTTTGAACAAATATTTAAATTTAAAAAACTAACAATGTCCTATTAATAACATTAATTTATTACTAACATAATCTTGATTAAATTAATAGTAGATATAGTGATTTAAACAGATAGTAAAGTATTAACACTTGTTACTTTAAAAGAGCAAAATAATTTCTCAGTTTATATCTAGTAAATTATAATAAAATATAATGTAACGTAAAGTAATATTAATAATAAATACCTTATGAACACTGGCCAGATTTAGCCTATAATACACGGGCATAAAAACATTGGCCGCAAGTATTACAGCAATTGTAAACGTTATTAAATGCACGGAATACTGGGTTCCCTTCAGAATATTAATTAATCAAATAAATATAATACTAAATATAATATTAGATATAAATATAATACAGTGCAACTTCTCCATAATGAACGGCTAGTTGCACGACAAAAGTGTTCATTATAGGGAGGGTTCATCCAAGGGAGGTTCAAGTAAAATGTCTTATTCTTGCTTAATATTTGAAAATTTACTAATCACAGAATGAATATAGTGTTTATATGGCAGACTCTAGCAATATTGAATGAAACTAAAAATGTAAATGTGTTATTTGTTTGTTTAAAGTCTTAGATTAGAAAATATTTTGAATACTATACAAATCATGTGCTTATAATTATGTTTGTTTGTTATAGAGAGTGGAAGTTTTATCTAAATCTCTATAAATCCGTTCATAATGGGGAGGTATTCATTATGGAGAAGTTTACCTAAGGGAGGTTATTTTAACATTATAAGTATAGGAAATCCAACATAAATTTCAAAACCGTTCATTATGAGGAGGTGTTCATTCAAGAGAAGTTTACCCAAGAGAAGTTGCACTGTATATTGTATTTAATAATATGACTTACAAATAGATATATTTCTGAGGGAACGCCTAATATTGTATTAGAAGAGAGAAAACTTGCGATTAAAGACATGCAAACCGGAAATAAGGCTAAATTCTTGCCACCCGTCAGAAACTCTTCATTATTTGATTTCTTCCGGTCTTTAATTGCAAAGTATATACCAATCAATGCCGAAGACGACAGAAATAAACCAAAAACCAGATAATCAACGATTGAAAAATTCTTTTCAATCATTATTTTAAATATTTTAACACTTTTGCATCAGTAAAGAGTGAAAACATTTACACGTATCAAATGTAATAATAACGAACACAACCTTTTCAAAATGATGAAGGTAAAATTATTTTGTGAGTAAACATCGTTTCAAACTGACTGATTGTCATTCATTGAATGCATTGAATTATATAATTTGAAATGTTTGACAGAAATATTGAATGTAATGAATGTAATCTTATCATTAGATAGACTTTGCAATACTTGTCGCCAATAAATTCCGTGCAAATGTATTTACTATTAAAACCACATGTACATGGTAATGTTATTAATTAAATCAATTTTATATTATTACTAATTAAAGTTAAAATTGTGAGCCTTATTATCCGAATATCCCAAAATATCTAGCTATTTTTACATTTTTAAAAGTGATATAAAACCAACATCTAGAGTATAAAATATCAAAAATCCTGGTAATTTCTGTATTTAGTAAAATATAACTGTAATAATATTCAATATACAGTATGACAATCTGTACAAATATACTACAGTAATGTAACTTATCATTAGAATAAATGTTAAATTAATGTGAAAATTAGTGCTAAATGTTGTTAACATTCAAATGAGAACCGCTTCTAAGTTTGAAATGTATTGACATTTGTATAGTTAATGAATAAACTAAACAATTCTTCTATCAAATGATAATTCTTTTGATGCGAAACAACAATTTTTATGCTAATCTTATGGGCCATAATTTACATTATTTTTATTTCTTATAAATTATAATATTATATTCATAACTTATATACGTTAATATACAGCACTTATGCCGATATCTCTTATTACAAGACATAATAGGTACACCTTATCCTCGATTTAGGGAGACTCGATATAAGGATAATTCGATTTAAGGGAGGGTTTTTTGCTGCACCGACCGCTCCTATGAGAGATTAACATTATGGCCCTCGATATAAGGATAACTCTATTTAAGCAAAACTCGATATAAGAGACATATCTTACTGCACGCACAGCACTGCTGTACTCTATTTAAGCAA